TAGAACTCATCCTACCAGTTAAATTATGTCAAAGTGTTTAAGTATCTTGTTTTCCAACCAACTTGAGAGTTTGTTGAGAGCAGAGAATTTTACTTATCAAGTATCTATTATGTACCAATCACTATAGAATATAAATATACTTACTCCTTGATTACAGATGAAGAAATTGAGACTCAAATTTACATAGTTATGAGATGAAAGAATCAGAATGTGAATATGGCTCTGCTGATGCCCATTGCCTGCTCAGTAGTCAGCATACACTCTGTGCAGACTGAGGATGGAGAGCTAAGCAGAGTGTACTTGGGACAGTCTAGTGCCTGTACAGCTACTGACTCCAACAAGCAAGGGTCACTGTTTCTGTCCCTCACTCATTCAAAACTACCAACTTCATCCTTAAGGAGGGACTTTCTCAGAAACATGTTACTTTCCTTGTCCTCTTATATTCTTTCATTCATTCTTTCATTTAAAATATACATATGAGGCAACTATATGCCTGGTTTTTGTTCTACTTAAATAATATAAAAAAGACAAAAAACCCTGTCATCATGAAGCTTATATTTTCACCAAGGGGACACATATAAATATAAATATAAATATAAATATAAATATAAATATAAATATAAATATAAATATAAATATATATATCTTATATGGTATGTCACAAGGTAATAAGTCCTAAGGGAAAATGAAAAGTAGAGCAGGATAAAAGAGAGGGGTATAAGGTCAGGAGACAGTATTCAATAGGGAGCACAGGATCAAGCTCCTGGATAAACTGACATCTGAACAAAGTGCTGAAAGAAGTGTATTCCAGGCAGCAGGAGCAACTAGAGCAACTGGCTCTAAGGTGGGAGTATACCTGGCATTCTCTAGAAATATCAAGGCTGCAAGTGTGTTTAGAGTGGAATGAAGAGGGGGAATAGCAGGGAGTATATTAGCTATTTTCGAAGCGGAGGGAATGAAAGAGTAGTAAAAGGGAAGAGGGGATGTTGATCATGGAGAGACTTACCTATTCTAGGTCCTATAATGTAACCACCTGCCCCTGCTTTAACAGAGTGTAGGCAAGGAACATCCAGATAATTTGGGTTTAGTCTTACTGTTCAGTGGTCCTAGCCCACGTTTGTCTTCATAGGGTAGTCATCCAAAACTTACTAGCACTATCTGGGTTTAGAACATTGCTTCAGCAAGGTTCAACTACACTCACTTCACAGGAACCCACTCATGGATCATTATTTCTATAGTGTTTCTGGTCAACCCATTCCTTTACATTTATTGTGGCCACAATCAATAGCAGCTGGATAACCAGTTGCTATCATTGATTGTGGCCACAATAAATGTAAAGTATATAGTGAGGAGATACTTAGTATCCAATGCATAATATATAGTGAGGAGATACTTATCAAATGACACATGTGAGAATGAATGAAGACATGTGAGAATGAATAAAGACAATCTTATAACATGGATACTTCCACCTTTAAATAAACATGTATCCTGGAGGTAGACAAGCTACACATTTACTTACTATGTTGAATTGACTATCTGGAGTATGGTTGGGCGTTGACGAATAAATCTTGTTTTTAAAAGCATTCATGTCTCATCAACATAAGAGAAACATTTTTCTCTCTGTAACTTCAGAAACATTCTCTGGCTCTGAAATGGATATTTACTAAAAATACCTTGCTTCACCTTGAACAGAGTCACTAGTTAGAAAGATAGACATAAACCTAATCTCAAGAAAAAGATGTTATTCGCTTTTTAGCTGATATATTTATGTCTACAGTATCCATAGTGATTTCATTGTCCTGGTACAATCTTCAACTTCAAATGTCAACCACATACTTATTGTCTTTGTTGGACTTAACCTTCTTTATGGTGATAATTTACTTCCATAGCTCTTCTGTAACTAAGACTGTCTGTGACATTTACTGCTGGCATAGTGGATGTAAATCAGAGTCCCTAAAATTGTTTCTAACCTTCTCTTTCCAGAGTTTGGAATGACCTCTGTGCTACTGTAAATGCAATAGATTGATGTTAGCATGTGGTATAAAACTTTTGTAAATATATTTTTTAAACTCCCCTAAATTCATATAAAATAAAGTAATAGTTTTGGAAAACATGAGCTGATATGTGTTCTAAATGTCATAGGAAAAGCCAGTTAGGGAATACTTTATTTACTCTCTGATCATATTTTGCTTAATAAACAAATTTTAAATTTAAGGCAAACATAAACATTCATGGTTCTATGGATGTCAAAGCATCAATAAAGAATAACTAGCCATATCAGAAGGAAATGTAGAAAACACTTATTTTAATTGCCCTCTCAATTTAAATCCATTTTCCATTTATTTTTAACAACAATTATAATTAATTTAACAAAACAATCATTGCATTTCAAATATAATTCCAGAGGTGTTGCTTTATAATTACTGTCATCATTTTCCAATTAACTAATCATTTATGCTATCTTAAGAGCACATAACCCTACCCAATGTTTATTCAATAAAAGCATAGTGAGAGTTAGTGTTTTTTAAAGTATTTTTCATTATTGTGTAAAATGCCAAAAGTTTTTATGACAGCTTCATCATTTGACTAGGTGTGTGGATTTTTACAAATTTCTTAAGCCAAGTATTAATAAGTTACAGAAATTCTGTCTTTAGTAACAAAGGCCTTTGATTAATATTTATCTTTTTGAGTAATTTATATGTTAATTATCATGATTTTAAAATACAATGAAAATATATTTGGTACAAGCATTATACCAAATGTGTATTCAATCATATTTTGAAAGGGATTTTTTTATCCTTATACCTTTAAGTGTTCTATCAATCACTCCTTTAATATGACCTCATAATGATTTTTTTAAATATAGTCATGCATTACTTAAGAAGAGGAATATGTTCTGAAAAATCATTGTTAGGTGATTCTGTCATCATTGTGCAAGCATAATACAGTATACTTACATAAACCTAGATGGTATAGCCTATTGCTTCTAGGCTACAAACCTATAAAACATGTCACTGTACTGAATACCATAGGAAATTGGAACACAATGGTACATATTTGTGTAACTGAACATATCTAAATGTAGGACAGGTACAGTAAAAATATAGTATAAAGGATTAAAATGGCATACCTGTATAGGGTACTTACCGTGAATGGAGATTACAGGGTTAGAATTGCTCTGGGCAAGTCAGTGAGTGAATAATGAGTGAATATGAAGGCCTAGGACATTACTATACACTACTATAGACTTTTAAAACACTGTACACTTGCATCATGAAGACACGTTTTGATTGTTTACCAGGCATTTTTGTTTTCCAACCAACTTGAGAGTTGAACACTAAATTTATAGCAATTTTTTTTCTTTAATAATAAATTTACTTTACTTTACCATAACTTTTTTCCTTTATAAACTTTCAAAAATTTTTTAACTTTTTGACTTTTCTTAATAACACTTAGCTTAAAACACAAACATAAGGTTTAGCTATACAAAAATATTTTCTTTCTTTATAACCTTATTCTATAAACTTTTATCTATTTTTAATTTTTTTTTTTTACTTTCTAAACTTTTTCTGTTAAAAACTAAGGCATGAAGATACACATTAACCTAGGCCTACACCTAGTCAGGATTATCAATATCACTGTCTTCCACCTCCACATCTTGTCCCACTGGAAGGTCTTTAGGGGCAGTAACATTCATGGAGCATCATATCCTATGGTAACAAAGCCTTCTGGAATACCTCCTGAAGGACCTGCCTAAGGCTGTTTTACAGTTAACTTTTTTTAATAAATAGAGGAATACACTCTAAGATTTTTAAAAAAGTATAGTATAGTAAATATATAAACCAGTAACATAGTCATTTATTATCAAGTACTATGTACTGTACACAATTGTATGTATTATACTTTTATAGGACTGGCAGTACAGCAGTTTTCTTTACACAAATATCACTGCAAACACATAAGTAATGCATACCACTACAATGTTACAATGGCCACAGTGTTCACTAGGTGACTGGAATTTTTCAGCTCCATTATGGTCTTATGGGACCACCATTATATATGTGGTCCATCATTAACCAAAATGTCATTATGTGCTGCATGACTGTAACTCAACTCTTCTTATAATTCTATAAGTTAATATAAATAAAAAATTTATATTCCACAGTATAGTAAAATTCATCTCTCAAAATAGAAGATCACCATGTTTAAAATGATTTGATATTATGGCATTTATATTATAAAGATAATAAGGTCAAAGTATATAATCTATTTCTTTATTCTTTAGACTGTTTATAGAGATGATTCAGTTCTGTGTGTGACTAGCCTCACTATCAGTTAATAACACTAAGTGCTAGGGAGTATCAAAGTATGACAAGGTGGCCAGAGAAGAAAACACAAAAGGCAAGCATCTAGCTTCTTTTCCTTATCTTCTCTCTGAAACTCTTACATAAATATCCAATGCTTTTTCCTCATGGCTCTTGTCTCAGAATTTGTACAATTTTCTATCATCCTTATTTTTCACTCTGAGGTGTCAAGAGTATCCAGGTCTCTACCCAGTTGACTGGCAATATTTCTCTTCTCTATGCCCATGAAACAACAATGGAGATGAGGCCTAAGACTCAATGATCACATGATTAGGACTGTGTTTGTGTTTTTCCTGGCTCACATAGGATCCCTCCAAACCTTTTCCCTAATGCCATTTTTGGCCAATTACCTATCATAACCTGATTAGCTGGATAATAGCAGCTAGTTATACAGTCTTGAAATAAAACTAATGTTCACATGGGATTGACTTCAAGATCACTGCTTCATTTGCATTAATCAACAAGCCTTCAAATATTTCAAGAACAAAATATATTGAAATAGAAATCTTACTGTTATTTATTGCATTTATAATAAATTGAGGATTTATTTTAAAAAAACTATCAAATGTAGCTAATTGCATTCTCTTAAAAATATGATAATAAGGCTTTCAATTTTCTGTTCTTTTCTCATAGGTTTAGGCTTCAGTATTGCAGGAGGTGTGGGAAACCAACACATTCCTGGAGACAACAGCATTTATGTAACTAAAATTATAGATGGAGGAGCTGCACAAAAGGATGGAAGGTTGCAAGTAGGAGACAGGCTACTAATGGTGAGTGTGACTCCAGCAGAACTGTGTGTATATTTATAAAGCTCTTGTTTCCCCGTGTACGACGGTCTTAGTCTGCTTAGGTTGCCATAACAAAATGCCACAGAGTGGGTGGCTTAAACAATAGAACTTTATTTTCTCACAGTTCTGTAGGCTAGGAAGTCCAAAGTTTTAATAAATTAGGTTTTTATTTTATTTTATTGATTGATTGGAGTGAGTGAGTGAGTGATTAATAGAGACAAGATCTCACTATATTTCTCAGGCTGGTCTTGATCTCCTAGCCTCAAGTGATCTTCCTGCCTCAGCCTCCCAATGTGCTAGGATTATAGGCATGAGCCACCTGATTAGGTTTTTGATGAGGGCTGTCTTCCTGGTTTGCAGATGGCTATCTTCTCACTGTATTCTTTTCATGTGTTTTGTGCTAAAAGAGAGATCTCTCTTCTTCCTCTTATAGGGCCATCTCTTATAAGCCTACCACCTCTTCTTTTAAGGCCCAGTCCTAACATATTAGGGCCCCACTTTTAACTCATTTAACCTTAATTACATTATAAATACCCTATCCCCAAATATAGTCACATTAGGGGTTAGGAATTCAACATATGAATTTGTGAAGGGACACAATTCAGTCCATAGTAGTGACCATGGGTAGAAATAGAAAAGAAGGGAGAGCATATATAAGGGCAAGAGAGGTCAAAAGTACATGTGCAATTTATCTGTTTTATTAATATTTTCAAAGCAGAAATCTAAATTTTCACCAATTTTCTTAGATACACATAGCATAAAGATTACCTGTTATTCTTCTAATGTAATCTGTTTTCTATCAGGAAGAGCAACTGCTATTCCAAGACTGCTAGAAAGGTAAATTTTGCATAACAAAGGAAACAACACTATACACAACACCTGACTTCCAAAAATTTAAAATCTGAGTTCTGTCACATGTGTAAATGGATCCCTTTCTCCCCTCCCCTCATACAGGGTTATAGCTACTTTATTTGTCAGCTGCCCACATGCTTCGGGAGTTCTGGGCAATGATTTTCACTGACACATAGCCATCATTTCTGGACCATGAAGTTCTCTGACAAACTAAAGCAAAATTAAGGCAATTATAAGTGGTAAAGCAGGTGAAACTGTACTAATAAAACTGCTTTATCTCCATTTACTCTTGTATACCAAATCGATAATGAACATTAATAGTCAATAGCTCTCAAGTAAGGTACACTTACTTAGTCATATGTCTGCCCTTGTAAAACGGGGCCTCTAATCTATGTCTGCAAAGAGCCATTATCTCCAGGACTTTGTTGAGAAGTGTTTGTAAAGAATCAACCTACACAATCTTAACAGAAAAGTAATTTCTATGACATATGCAAGTTTTGGAGGTTGAACCCTAAAGTTTTATATTCATTATGCCCACTTCCCTGGACTCTAGAAAGCTTGCCTTTAATCTCAGTGGCCTAATTTTATAGTGTCAATGACCTTTGTAGTAAATTAGAATACTATAATATTATAATAATCTCAATACCTAACATTTACTTGGCATTCGCTATGTTTCATGTACTTTTAAAGGTGCTTTTTTGCAATGTCTCACAACAGCATATTTTATGTAAGCAAAAGGAAACTAAGGTAGAGAAAAGGTTACTAATTTGTCCATGGTTGCATAGTTAATAAGGACAGAACTAGATTTCAAATTCAGGCCATCTGGCTGGCATGTTCATTACCAGTAAGCAATACTGCTTCCTGTGCATGGCATTTGCATTAGTTTCCTTGAATTTGTCAGTCATTTCTTTTCTTTCTTTCTTTGTTCACCTTTCAGTCATTCATTAATTCCGTTGTTTAACAAGTATATATTACCCACCTACCATATCCTTTGCAATAGCCACTATTTGGGGAAGAAACTCTGTCATGAAAAACCATCTTGTCCAACTGGATGGGCAAAAAGTGCACCACTAATGACTTCAGTCAAAGTTGCAACTATAGGTTGGGGCTTCTTTACCTCAGGATACAAAATCAATGCACACAAATCAGTGGGATTTATATATGCCAATAGCAGTCAAGCCTAAAATCAAAAATGCAAAACATTTCACAAAACTATCAAAGGCAATTACATATTTAGGAATATATTTAATGAAGGAGAACTCCTATATAGGGAGAACTACAAAACATTGAGAAAAGAAATTGTAGAAGATGTAAATAGATGAAAAACCCTACCATGCTCATGGATTGGCAGAATCAACATTGTTAAAATGTCCATACTATCTTAAGTGATCTACAGAATCAATGCAATCCCTATCAAAATACCATCATCATTCTTCCCAGATCTAGAAAAAAAAAATAATTCTATGCTTCCTATGGAACCAGAGAAGAACTTGTATAGCCAAAGCAATCTTAAGCAAAAAGAACAAATTGGGAGACATTAGTCTGCCAGACTTCAAGCTTTACTACAAGGATATAGTAACCAAAACAGCATGGAATTGGCATAACACAGAGATATAGACCTTTGGAACAGGACTGAGAACCCAGACATTAAACCATCCTCATATTGTCATCTAATCTTCAACAAAGCAGACAAAAATATACATTGGAGAAAAAAATCCTTATTCAATAAATGGTGCTGGGAAAACTGGATAGTCACATGTAGAAGACTGAAACTGAATACACACCTCTCACAAAAATCAACTCACGATGGATAACAGACTTAAACCTAAGATAAAACTTTAAGAATTCTAGAAGAAAATGTTGAGAAAACTCTTATAGTCATTGGTGTAGGCAAAGAATTTATGAGGAAGACCCTCAAAGCAATCACAGCAGCAACAAAAATAAATAAATGGAGCCGGGCGCGGTGGCTCACGCCTGTAATCCCAGCACTCTGGGAGGCTGAGGCGGGCGGATCGCTCGAGGTCAGGAGTTCGAAACCAGCCTGAGCAAGAGCGAGACCCCGTCTCTACTATAAATAGAAAGAAATTAATTGGCCAACTAATATACATATAAAAAAAAATAGCCAGGCATGGTGGTGCATGCCTGTAGTCCCAGGTACTTGGGAGGCTGAGGCAGAAGGATTGCTTGAGCCCAGGAGTTTGAGGTTGCTGTGAGCTAGGCTGATGCCACGGCACTCACTCTAGCCTGGGCAACAAAGTGAGACTCTGTCTCAAAAAAAATAAAAATACCTGATCAAATTAAAAAGCTTCTGCACAGCCAAGGAAACTGTCATTAGAGCAAAAAGACAACTTACAGAATGGGAGAAAATATTTGCATGTTACACATCTGATAACAGGCTGATAACAAGAATCTATATAGAACTTAAGAAAATTAACAAGAGAAAAACAACCCCATCAATAAATGAGCAAAAGGCATGAACATAAACTTTTCAAGAGAAGACAGAATAATGCCCAGCAAACATATAAAAAAGTGCTGAACATCTCTAATCATTAGATAAATGTAAATGAAAACCACAATGAGATATCACCTAACACTAGTGAGAATGGCCTTTATCAAAAAGTCCCAAAACAACAAAGGCTGGCATGGATGTGGCAAGATTGGAACACTCTTTCACTGCTGGTTGGGCTGCAAATTAGTACAACCCCTGTGGAAAGTAATTTGGAGATTTCTAAAAGAGATAAAAATAGAAATACCAGCAATCCCACTACTAGGCATCTACCCAAAGAAAAAAAAGACATTCAATAATAAAGACATCTGCACTCGAATGTTTTATGGCAGCATGATTCACAATTGCCAAGATGTAGAAACAACCCAAGTGTCCATCATTACATGAGTGGGTTAATAAAATGTGGTATACATACACCATAGAATACTACCCAACTACAAAAAACAATAGTGAATTAGCACCTCATATTATCCTGGATAGAGCTTGAGCCCATCCTTCGAAGTAAGGTATCACAAGAATGGAAAAACAAGCACCACATGTACTCACCATCAAATTGGTAATCACTGATCAACACTAAGGTGTTCACATGGAAGTAATATTCACTGGGTGCCAGTCAGGTGGGAGGGGGGCAATTGAGATGGGTGAACTCGCAACTAATGGATGCAGAGTGCACTGTATGGGGGAAGGGCACACTTGTAGCCCTGGCTTGGGTGAGGCTAAAGCATTATATGTGACCAAAATGTTTTTACCCCCATAATATTCTGAAATTTAAAAAAAAGAAAAGAAAAAGAAAAAGGATGCAAAAAATACAAAAAGAATCTCAATTATAATCCTGGGTCATCTCTAAAAATGAAATAGAAATTCTGAAACCATTTTTTGTTTGGTTGGTTGGTTTTGATGTAAAAGTTGGTTCTTATGATATTGTTTTATCTTCTGAAATAGAAAAGTTGTTATTGGGGTATAAGACCTGAATACCTTCTCTCTAGAATATAAACATTATTACTTGAAATGTTAACTTGGGAATAAAATAAATGTGACAACCAATTTCTACACAGTGCTAACTTGAGAAATGAATAGACTATTCTGATTCTCAAGTCATGACAGTCTTAGTGTGACAAGTTTGACCTTCAGCTTGCTCTGTAAGAGCTTGTGTATAGATAGCTTTTCTGGTATTTCTTCAAGTGCTGCTATTGTAAAATCATGCTAAATGTTATGTGCCGATTTCTTGAAGTTTATGTTTAACTTTCTATCTTTATTTTCATATTCTTGAAAAAAAAAAAACTCAGTCCAAACAATACTGTCAAAGGATTTTCCAGGCACCACACTATTTTTCCATTACCATTTTCTTGATATTCATTGGCAACATAATGATTTCAAAAATAGCTGTGACATAATCCTTAACTGTTTTGAGTTTTAAAGCATAGTGTATTTAAAAAAAAACGAACCTTCAACAATAATAGGTCTCTCCTTTCTTATGTAAGGAAAACATAATTAGTACTTCCAAGGCAACTGCCAAGCTGAATCTGGAAATGAAAGAAAATGATTCATTTTATAATGCTCTGTAAGAAAAATAACCCTGAAAGAAAATAAAGAAAAAAAATCACTGAAGCCACAGTAAAAGAAC